TCATTTTTGAAGATAACGTATATTCTTTCTGAAGAATCTCATGTGGTAGTTTCTATAGCAAATCTCGAGAGAAATTTCTCTGAAATCACAGTATATGCTCACAAAATTCTAACCAGTATTTGCGCCATTATGAATCAGCATTTAGAAGCTGAATTCTCTTACAATATAGCAACGCCTATAAACTGCGTAACTAAAATATATAAATATTCCCTCATGTAGACGAAGTCGCGGCCAGAGGTAGTTGTACACTAAATACTAAATACCTAAAGAACGAAAATGTTAAGGAGATCCCATTAAAAGTACAGTGTAGTGTACAAGAGCGTCTGTTGGCGTGCGATGGTACAGTAAACAGTAATGTCGGGCCATAACTCAGCGGCAAACGGCCGAAACACTGCAATCTGGGGAAGCAATTTTTCTAACAATTTACATACTATTACGGCGACCACGCCCCGCATATTAACACATAACCTATAGAAACCTGTCTTTAATGACTCTGGCTCGGTTAAAAATATATATTTTACCGGTATTTGCTAAAAGCAAAAGAGTTTAGGAAAATTCTGTTTAATAGAAATTGTATAACGAAGTATGTTTAAATGAAATTATTTAAAATAAAAATGTTTGTTATTTAAAAATGTTATTTTAAATGATACATATACGGATAGATAAATGATGGTCTTTGGCATTTTATTCTCCGAGAATGGCGAAACATTGAGTGAAATTTAAGTCCGTATTTGGAGTTTATCTCATTTTCTTTGTAAATTACGTTCTTTTGCTTGTTCTTTCTTTAAACAGCTTCTTATAAGATTGGATTATTTTGTGAGAATCAAGTAAATGATCTCATCCTCTGTCTGGTATTTATACTAATATAGGTTAAAAAAATATGAACCTGTAAATAATGAGCTAAATGGTAGCGCCGGCTGCGGTGGCTTCTATCCTAATCAGGCTAATGACTGAGCTGCTGCTATATGTACAGAAATGTATTCCGCTGTTATTATATATATAGAGATTTGAGCGGTATCTGTTACACAAACTGGCGACGAGTGGAGTTACGACTACAAACTCACTCAAGCAAGAGAAAGTTAACAATTGTTTGAGTATTTATTCAACAGTATTTTGTACCAGTTGAAGCATCTGTTTACGCTCGTCTGTTACTGGGGAGATTCAACGATTTTATACAAGTGATGTTTTAATTTAAACGTTTGTTTGTTTGTAATACTTTATTATTCAATAAAGTCTTAAATTATAGGGTACAGAGCTCTTAAGAAATATGTACTAAATGAGTACAATGGTGGACGGAATAAAAGCGAGTTTTTCTAGTGTATTACGTCCATTTTACTTCATTCGGTTGTAGCGTTTTAAATTCTAAATTTTAAAATTTTTATTATAAGTTTTTATTATTTCATTTATTATTAGGTTATTAAAATTTTTTTACTATTCTATACCTGCTGAAAAAAAATATTTATTTTTTTAAGAAAGTGAACATATAACCAAGAAGTGTATGGCGAAGAACAGTTGTTACTTGATCGCTAGCAGCACTTTTTATCAAGAGAATAGTCTATTTAGCGACTAGGAAGTAATTGTGTTTTGTAAACCATTATGTTTTTTATAAATTAGTAATTACTTATTTATTTATTGAATCAACTGGATGAGCTTTGCAGTCTCCCAATACGCTCACCCAGGAATGCACCAGTACAATAACACATATAGAAAGAAATAATACCCATAATTATAAAAAGATTAAAAAGATATTAATAATATTAAAATATATTAAAAATATTTTATTAAAAATATTTAACTTAACTAGAAATAATATTAGAGCCTAAATCTCTGAACACAGACACTCTGTGGTCGTCCGACGAAACTCCAGCAAGTTGCAGGCAAGTACGTCCAATTGTGGATACCGGCTCAAAATATCGTTGAGTAGTTTCAATGCAAGAGATAGGGGAGCTTACTTGGCCAACTCTGTTCTTCTTAATGGAACATCGAAAAAGTGCCGTCTACATTTATAATTGTGAATTGTTAATTTATAAGTAATCAGCCTATGGTGGTGGTGCTGGAGGCAGCGGTAGCGGCGGTCGGTGGTAGCGTGGCATGGCGTGGCGGTGGTCGCGTGTTGCGCCAGCGTTACCTTACTTCCGGACAGGACGGCGTGCGGCGTGCGGCGTAACGCGAGCCGGCCGCGGCGGTAGATTGACGAGCCAGATTGGTGGTCGCGTTCATGTCACATTTGCGTCTCCTTGTAACTCGTGTGCAATTACTGATATACGAATACATTGCTCTTATACTGATATACATTACTGGTCGTATAGTCCCGGCATAGATTTGGCCACCCCTTCCATTCCCGTGGGTGTCGTATGAAGCAACTAAGGAAGGCGAGAGATGGGATGTAACGTCTCTCTTAAAACATCTCTAAACTACTTCAGTTGCCAAACTGTCTGCCAAGGGTAGTAACTACTAGCAAAACCTCTCAAGGGGGAGGCTTATGTTCAGCAGTGGACAGCAGACAGACAGACAGAAAGCTGATATAAAGATGATTACTCTTATAATTGGATGAAACACATATACAAAATTACATTGCGTATTTATAACGTAGCTATGCTTACAAGTTTTCTGTATGGAGGGTGAGGTACGGCAAATAAATTACAGAGCATCGAGGTACACCATAGTCCTCTGAAGTGGCAACGCATGAAAGGTATCATGGGTGTTTTTGTTTTTAGCGATTGTTACATGTATTATTATTTTTGTCAATTTTGTTTAAGTTTTAAGTATCATAAAAAAATATAAAATATTGACAAAATATTTTTTTTTTTTATGCAACTTAGAATGACAAACAAGCTGACGGCCCACCTGATGGAAAGTGGTAACCGTCGCCTATAGACATGAGCAGTACCATGGACATAGCAGACTATACTGTTTCACCCATGATACCCCCCATGCGTTGCCATTCCTGAGGACTCAGGTGTTATTCCTCTGTACCCAGTAAATTCACGCCATATCCCACCCTTCAAACCGAAACACAGTCATGCAAACACAACTGCTTCACGGTTGAAACACGAATGGGACAGAGGTACCCAAGCAATCGACTTTTGTACAAAGTCTCCCTCTGGTAATTTGAACCAGACGAGAAAGCTTATTGCTATCTATCAGATCAATTCAGATTATTACCGGCCTTTCCCATCTCTACTGTCGTTATAAATATAAGAAAATGTGAGCTATAAATTCATCACCCATATAAATACCTTGTAATAATTGACAAGGGTCTAATTGCAAAATACATATTTTATATTTCATTCAGAACAATTTAGAAGTGCTGAAAAATGAATTCGTTTTAATTTGCAGATTAAAATCCCGGGTATGTCCAGGTGTGAGGGACGTGTCGTTCCAGGCCGGGGCATTTAATCACCGGTAATTGGCGTTGATTTGGATGCGTGTAATGGTTATCCACAGCCACTGTCCTGTGGACATAATGGACGCTTTTTATCGCAGTTTAATTCGAAAATTATTCAATAGAATGATGGATGGGAGATGTTGGTATGAACATAACCCTGGAACTTCTACTATTATTTAGAGATATAGCCTTTCTCAATATCAGTGGCTGACTTTATCGTGGCGAGAGCTTAAAAGAATTATATTACCCCATTAAATCATCTTTCACGCATCACGAGAATGGGCCAGCAACTGCATATCTACACGGTACACCGCCCGCCATCCAATAAAAAAGTTCATTAACCAAGATAAAAAAAAAAGTAGTTTACGTCTTTCTCCCTCCCTAATACAAAGCCTAAAAGGCACTAAAATACAACAACCAATACTGTCACATCCATAATATTATTAAAAGTTATTCGTAACTCTCGGCCTTTCCCTAATTGTTAATATAGGATATTGTATGTTTACATTTTATTCACTTTCATTCAGCATTTTAAGTGTGAGTGAGTAACAATTCCCATGTGGTCCCGGCATAGAATGGACACGTTTCTTTTTCAGTGAGTGTCGGAAGGAGAGATTAAGGGAACTTAATGGTCCAGGGATGAGTAGTAGAGACCTCCTTAAAATGTCACCTAGCCTGCGGTTGTCAACTCGCCTGTCAAGTGTGACAACTACTGGCAAAACCCCCGTTATGGGGGAGGCCTTTGTTTAGCCGTGGACAGTCAACAGCCGATATTTAGTAACAAATATTTAGACATTTAAACGTGTACCTAAGCACATGTATAGAAACCTCCAGAAACATATAATATTAGTAGAAAGTAGGATTTATTACTTTTTTTTTATTGTTACAAAAAGGTCGTACGAAATAGAATGTAGCTTTCTACAGCAAATTGAATGAATCCTTTTCAAGTGTCTATTAGGCTCGGTTTTTCAAAGGCTACAAGTGAAAATATTCTATTGGATTTACAATTTCGTCGAAGTGTCATAAACTCGTCTCTGAAACCCGAAGGGCGGCATGAAAATATAAAAAATAATCTGCATAATAAGTGTATTGGAAAACATGCCCTGACACCCATTTATCATTTGGGTCCGCTATGGAGACGTTCTCCAAGAAAATATGTTTGTTTTAAATGCTACCCGCTAAATACGTTGTAATATTTGAGAAAAAATTCAGCAAAAAACAAACTTTCCGGCGGGGAAAATGCGTTCTCATTTTTTCATATATCTATTACTAGAGATTTTTTCCGTCTTCGCACAGCTAAATAGAATTTTCGAAAATAATATACAGCTTATTTTAATCGCTGATAATGTTACCTTATATAGATGAACGATATTTAAAATCGGTATGAAAAGTTTTTTTTTTATAAAAAACATCCATTACAAACAAATAAACCAAAAAAATCTTTTCCCTTTATAATATTATTAGCTTTTACCCGTGACAAAAACGAAAAAGTAATCTATATCAGTCTCCAACCTATATATTTAGTAAGTGTATATCAAATTTCACAGCGATTGGTGATGCCGATATAAGGTAACAAACAAACTGTGAAAGGCTATCCGAAGTAGAAAATCATATGACACGAACTGATCAACGTTTAAAATTATTAGAGGAGCGTGAGGCTGAAGTGGCATCATTGCAATGTCAGGTACACACGCTCCAAGATCAGCTTAGTAATCAAGCACAGGCCGCATTGCGCAATGAGATAGAACTAGTAGGTATCCCCGAAACTTCTAGTGAAAACTTGTCGCAAATAGCAACAGTCCTTGCTACGAAAATTGGAGTTGTTTTGAATGAAACGGATGTTGATTGGGTGACCAGAGTTGGATTAAAGCGCGCTCCAGGTACAGGGAAATCATTGCCAAGACCAATTGTTATTAGGTGTGTTAGAAGGGGGAAGCGCGACGAAATTCTTAGAGCAGGAAAATCGCGAAAGAACTTGACGACACAGGACTTGCCTATTAAAGCAGATGTGCAGAAGATCTTTATTAATGAACGTTTAACCAGCGAAAAACGTAAGTTATTTCGCGAATCACGAAGTCGGGCAAGCAATGCTGGATACAAATACTGTTGGACTCAAAATGGCAACGTATTCATACGAAAACGGGAGGGCAGTTCGGCAATACAAATTCGATCACAAGCTGAAATGGCAGAAAAACTTGCCGTTCCGGAGAATAATTAATGTAATCATTCATTGTATGCTTAATAGCGTAAATAAATCCTTTTCATTATTTTTTACTAATAGCATGTTTGTTATAATATATATGTTAATAAGTATTATAAAAATATTTACTTTATTGTTACTTGGAAATATGATTACTTTTGATGATATGTATAATTATGTGCTTTGTGTTGATATGTGCTTTACTGTTTATTGTAATTATTTTATTTTATGTAATTTGCAATATTTACATGCACTAATATATTTTGGTTATGCGTATTGTGCGGACATCAGTATAATAACATTTATGAGTGGACGTAAAGTGACACAAACTATATGCTGTTTTTTTACTTCATATTATATAAATCATAATAAACAACCACCATAAGAATTGAAACAGAAGTTGACGAAATCTTAAATGTACCATGTCACTTATTCCACAATCTCGAATCATGTAAGAACATTTATCGGCATAATTACGGCTTCAAAGTTCTTAATTTTAATATAAGAAGTATTCAACGGAATTTTGATTCTTTCTACGTGGCTCTAAAAAGATTAGACATTGAATTTGACATTATTGTTCTCACAGAGTGCCATTTAGGTGTATGTTCTATAATACGAAGCATCCCTGGTTACTCAAGTTTTTATTCTAGAAATATCAATAATCAAGCTGGAGGTGTTGTTGTATATATTAAGGAAGAGTGGAGAGTACAAGTATTTGAACCAGATATAGAGGATGCTGATTGTCTAGCTTTGACGTTTCCAAACCATCGCACTGTTCTTGGAATTTATCGCTCCCCCTCTTTCAGAAATATAGATAATTTCTGTAATTCTTTAGAATCATACATTGTTAATAACTCTCGTGATTCAGAGGTTATGTTAATAGGAGACCTGAATGTTGACATCCTGAAGAATGGAGATGATGTAACAAAATACCTATGTCTCACAGCATCGTTTGGTTTAAAACCAGCTATTAATGTTCCTACCAGAGGTGTTGCATGTCTTGATCACATTTTTCTTGGTTCTAAGGTAACTGGAGTTGGTGCAGTATGTAAAACATCCATAACTGATCATGAAATGGTTATGGTTGGCATCTCGGAAACTCCAAGGATTTCGAGGCGTAAGCGATTGGTTAGGAAGTTAAATTTTGAGGCATTTGAAAGTGATCTTAACGAAACAGACTGGTCAGACGTTTTGAGCTCTGGTAATGCAACGGATGCAGCTGAAAAATATATGAAGAAACTACATGTAATGACAGTAAAGCATACAAAATTATTGAAAGTTAGCAGATCAAAATACGCTCTTAATGAATGGGTCACTCCTGGGTTGATAAAATGCATGAGACATCGTGACGCTCTTCATTTACAGGCAAAAAAAGAACCAAATAATTTAATTATACAGGTAACCTATAAAAGATACAGGAATTTCCTCACTGACCTACTTAAAAAACTTAAGATTCAATATAACGGTAAAAATCTGGAAACTAATAAAAATAATCCAAGAAAACTTTGGAAAACTATAAAAGATATCTGTGAACTGAAGATACAAATGAAGAACAGTATTGATTTACTTCATATAAAAAATAACCCAGTAGAGTCTCTCTCTGAATGCAACAAATATTTTTCTAGCATAGGGCAAAATCTAGCATCAAAAATATTAAAAGATATTAATAAATCGGAACAGGATCTAGCTAGAGCAGTTAGCAATGTCAGAGGTTCAGCAGGTTCTTTTTTTATGACACCAACGGATACTTATGAAGTCAGGACAATAATAGGGCAACTAAACCTTAATAGTGCTCCTGGTTTGGATAGTATAAGCACTAAGATGCTAAGAAGAGCATGCAATTTTATAATTGAACCCCTGACACATATAATAAATTTGAGTCTGTCCTCGGGGCAATTTCCAGAATGTTGGAAATCTGCTGCTATAATACCTATATACAAGGATGGCCTGCAAACTGATCCGTCAAACTATCGCCCAATTTCTCTCCTAAGTGTGTTCTCCAAAATTCTAGAAAGGGTTGTAAATTTACGCTTAACAAAATTTTTGGAATCTCAAAACGTTATAAGTCATAACCAGTTTGGTTTTCGTAAAGGAAGATCTACTGAAGAAGCAGCTAATTTCCTTATAAAAACTGTAACTGATGCTATTGATCATAGACAGAAATCTCTTGGAATATTTCTCGATCTTTCCAAGGCATTTGATACTGTTTCTCACTATATTCTACTACGGAAACTCGAAGTTATTGGAATACGAGGCGTGACTCTTAGATGGTTTTCTAGTTATCTTGAAAGGAGAAACCAAATCGTAGTCGTAGATGAACATAAAAGTAATACATCATATATTTCTTTTGGAATTCCACAAGGAAGTATCCTCGGGCCTACACTGTTTTCTATTTACATGAATGACCTCTGCCATTTATTTGATGATGACAACAACGTCCAAGTAATCTGTTATGCTGATGACACTGCAATAATTTGCACACAAGAAAATTGGTTTTCTGTTTTTTCTGCAGCTAACTCGGCCATGAAGATTGTATCAAATTGGTTGGGAGCAAACCTACTTACTTTAAACACTGCAAAATCTAAATATGTTTGTTTTCACAACACCAAAGCTTCTAGTCCCCCAACGTCATTATCCTTGATTATCCATAAATATTCATGTGATAATAACAAAATCTGCAGTTGTGATTTCCTTGATAGGGTTCATGAAGTGAAATATTTGGGATTAATCTTGGATCAAAAGTTGACTTTTGCTTCTCATATACAAGTGCTTTCTAAACGTATACGAAAACTTATACACGTTATGAAGCTTCTGCGTAACGGCGCGAGCAAGAATGTTTTATTACTTGTATACAAAAGCATAGCTCAATCACTGTTGATGTACTGCATCACAGTGTGGGGCGGTGCATCAAAATCATATATGATTGCACTTGAAAGGGCACAAAGATCTGTATTAAAAGTAATGTTTAGGAAACCAATTCGTTTTCCCACCTATCTTTTGTATCAGGAGGCTGCTGTTCTGACAGTGCGTCAACTTTATATACTTAAAGTAGTAATGATGCACCACAAATCTCCTCTCCTCCCGCAAAAACCTTCGGACCAGAGAAGGCGCAAAATAATCATCCCTCGCATTAATACTGCATTTGCAAAGCGCTTTAGTTATTATTCGTGCCCATTTATATATAAAAAACTTAATAATCTCTGCAAACTGGATGGTCTTAACAATGCGGAAGCTAAACATAGGATACAAGGATATTTACAAAATCTTGATTACGATGCCACAGAATTAATATTATATACCATTTATTGATATTCGTATATAGTAGTGTATGTCTTTAGTATATTTAATTGTATGTATTTATTTATGTAATATTAGAGTATTTACATAATTTTCTGTTTTATGCGCATGTCTTCACGAAGCACTTCATTTTAACTTGTTGCTTTCGTAAAACTGGCTTAGTATTTTAATTTAATTTATATTTGTAAACCACCGTGTCTTGGTAATCTCATATGGACTCCCGCGATACAGGTTCTCCTAGTGCGGGGTCCAATGTACTCGCTGTTGTAATTTTTTTTTGTATTTAATAAATAAATAAATAAATAAATAAAATAAAACTCATTTTCACATTTATAACATTAGTATTAGTATATCTATATTATGTAGATTTTTTAATAAAACTTATGTGAAAGTTAAATAATAAAAAAATAAGTAAATATTTACGAAGCTAAGTACGAGTATGTACCAGTTAGAGAGTAGGTAAACTCCGAACAAAAAAATGTTGCAACGCTTCAGACCAATATCGAAATGAGAGCCAATGTTATGAGAAGACCCCTATTCTTTTTTTATGCAACTTAGAATGGCAAACAAGCTGACGGCCCACCTGATGGAAAGTGGTAACCGTCGCTTATACACATGAATAGTACCATGGACATAACAATGTATACTGTTTTGCCCATGATACCTCTCATACGTTACTATTCCTAAGGATTAAAGTGTTCTTTTTCTGTACCCTGTAAATTCACTGTCATATCCCACCCTTTAAACCGAAATATAACTTTGCAAACACAACTGCTTCACGGTTGAAACACGAATGAGATAGAGGTGTCCAAGCAAACGACTTTTGTACAAAGTCTCCCTCTGGTAGCTATTCTCAGTTTTGTCCAAAAGTGGAATATTAATGATTGTTATGATGACGATTTAACAAAGATAAGAAAACAACTAAGATTGATAAATATTTTTCTCATATACCCATTGTTATATAACGAAATATGATGCCATTCACTTAATATCAGCCATGCTTAATGTACAATACTAAACAAAACTTAAGTTTTCTTGTCGTTTTGGAAGCAAGCCAGGCCATGTTGTTTGTACTTTTGAAATATTACTCACGACGTACATAAGACCAAAGATTAGGCACTCGATAGCGGCGGAGCAGTACTCGTATTGTGAGTTATGAGGATCTTAGCTTTCCTCTTTTTAAGCAACTTGGAATGACAAATCAGCTGATGGCTCTTCTTTTCCTTTTCATTTAAGAGTTTCCTCTTGTCGGTGCAACTAATTCATGCATCTTCTTCCAGCCAGTTCTATCCCAGGCCATATCCTTGACTTCCCTATACGACATGACTCCTAGTGTTTCTTTTACTTTTCCCATTCGGTCTTCCCCTTTCTCATTTGCCCTCCTTCTAATATGCTCTTTAAAAAATCGTCACGTCGTATAAGATGGAGCTAATAGCAACTAATGGAATGAAAAAGCTAATAGCTCATGTGATGAATACACTGTGACGCTCATTTTTACCTTCCAATACAATACGAGAAGTTATCGGTATTATTGTAGTATCCAAATTAATGGACAAATTTCAGTGTGTTTTTTTTTAAGGTTTTTTAATCAAAATGGCCTTAGTTATGTATAAAGAGAATCTATTTGTGGCTTGGGGTGTTATTTTTAATTTATTACTTAATTCTACGGTCGGTACTATGAAAAGCTTTTAGGAATGTTAATTGAAACAAATTGAGACTATTTGATAATTGTTATTTCTTGGAAATAGGACGGAAGTCGCTATTGGAGCTTTTATCACTTCAATGTTGTATAGAATCTATTTAAAGTATCAAATGATGAAATATTAGATGATAACTTTGGTTGTGTAGTGGTTTAACAAACTGCTTCACCCTCCGCGGACACAGATTCGTTCACACTTCATTTGTATTGGCATTTATAAACTACATATGATAGAAGAGAAGGGATTGTTAGCAATGAGGTATAGTGGTCCTGTTATATTACTAGCAATATACCCTAACAGGTCGAACTCCACGCAAGTCCCTCTTGAAACCATCGGTGTTTATCAATAAATGGTTAATTATTGATAAATTCGTCATGATGGGCCAACTGACCTTTTTTCATTTTAACCTAATCATCTCTCATTGGTGCTGCGGGATTACCATTTCGTGTTCACCCATCAAAAAAATGGCATATATCCGTTTGTCTTCATTGTTTCTGTGTATAATATTGTAGATAGATTGTCACTTTGCTAGTACTCGTGTATTAGCTCTCCTGAATTTGGAGATCTAAAGATAGTGCTGGTAACCTGTTCAGTGTTTTATTAGTATTACATTAAAAATGTAACGCAAATTAATGACCTGGCTGAACTTCTCATGGGCACAAGATTTCGACAACAGCTCCATTGAGCGGGATAGTAATCCTACATCTGAATGTTGGAGTGAGCAATACACATGTGCATAAAACTTCATTCAAATCGGTAGAACGATTTTGGATATTAGCGATCGAACATCGTGATACCGGGTTTTTATATATTAAGATATTTTTATTTGACACACCATCATCTTCATCATTCCAGCCATTATCCGTCCACTGCTGGACATAAGCCTCCCCATAGATTGCCATAAAAAATGGTATTGAGCCACCTGCATCCACTGACTCCCTGCAATGCATTTTAAGTCGTCACTCCATCTAGTGGGGGGCGTCCTACACTGCGATTACCCGTACGTGGTCGCCACTCAAAAACTATTCTTCCCCATCGGTATATGACACATAGCGGCAACTAATTGCAAACGAAGCAAAGCTTGCCTGATGTTTTGCAAAAAGTGCGTTATGTGATGCAGTACAAAGGACGCGGGGGTTGTACGTAGTACGACGTTGTACGACGCGTTGTTTGTAGGCTTAACGGATATAATAATGAGGTCTTAAATAATTAAGCAACAATAACGAGCTGCTAAATAAACATGAAAAATGGTTTTAGCGTGTATACGTATGAATATCCGGATGTTTGTTGCAATGAATCTAAATGACTTGATACATTTTAATTAGAGAGCTTGGAAAATATTTTTAATGTTTCTTTTTTGAGTAAAATCCTGCTTGATGCGAAGCAAAATACAGGCAGGTTTTTGCGTTGTGAAATAAAAAAAAATATTTTAAATTCATGAAATATCTCGTTTTTATCAACATTTTTGTAGATTCATTATTGTTTTTGCATTTACGTAGAAAATTTGTAAATGACTATAGACAAGACCAATTATCAATTTCACGTAATTGTTACACTCGTATCGTTATCAGCAATCATAGAAATTGTAGATACGAGCGTACCATTTCCATGCCACTTATGGTAGCAACAAATAATAATAGGTACGAACTATTAGGAGCCAGTTAAACTATTGCAGTGACGTAGTTTATTAGCGCTCGTTACGGGCTACGTGCGCCATTAAACGTAACTGTTTACGACCAGCTAACTGCTGAGTGCCAGTGTTGCCAACTCGGAATAAGGTTTTCGGGCTAAATAAAAAAAATTATGGGCGAGGGATGGACAGCGGCGACCCTATTAAAACATCACCAAAAGTTTAATTGCGGTTGCCACTCTGCCAGCCAAGCGTGGTAACTACTGACAAAACTCCTTTTATGTGGGATTACATACGGTCTTTATGCAACAGTGGGCATTTAGCAGCTGATGTGTACATGGTTATTTGTAATGACATGTAAATAGGTGATAGAGTCAGTCATATGATCGGAACTATGAATGTAATGCAATTGAATGAAAAAATCGAATCGAATGTGTAAATATATATTTATATTTTATTTGAATGTTATCTATTCCCTTTTTCTACATTTTTTAATCACAATTGTAATTCAATTAATATATTATAATTTATTAGTACATATTACTCGAATGAGCATTATTAATAAGGATTTTAGATATTTTTCAGTTTAATATTTATCTCTTATATGTTTTGTCTAATACTAGAAGTTTTGTTTTTAAATGGACATTTTTTTAATCGAATTTTCTTTTTATTATAGCATGACTCGTGACCCCCACACCATCCTGAGCTAACACAGAGTCAATAAATGTCCATGAAAACGAACAACCGAAAAGAAATGAATGTTTGTTGCAATGTCAACATTTTTAATCTCACATTTAATTTCACATTATCCACTTGAACTCAGTGGATTGTTGTTTAAAAGAAATAGAAATAAGTTTGAACTGAACTAAACTGTTCGAAAGCTTTAGACATAAACGTGGGTGTTTCAATTCGTTTCTGCGGCTTTGAAGTTTTCTCATGTAACGTGATTGAAACTTTTTTATTGAGCGCATTCCGTTCCAAGATTTCATTAGTGCATTGTTCTGAGAGATAATATTTTGGATTTCAAGAAATTAATAGAAATTGTTGGATCGTTATAAACATAATTAAAATAAGATTATTGCGCTGCGTGCGGTGTTCAACGACCAACTGCCGCCGGCCTCCCGTTGCCCAACCGCTACCGGGGTATCCGTTGCTTAGCAACGAGCCAACAGCGCGAGGCTACCGGCGGGTGCGCCGCTATATATATATCTACTTATGTAGTGTATTACATACTCCCCCTTTTGACCTAAGCAGTGTCCTCACAATAGGTCAAACAAAATCAAGAAAAATCAACACTACAACAGTTTAGTTTAAGGATACACAAGATATTAAAAAAATAAAGCATTGATCTTACGCGGACGGCCACGCCCTCTTTTTGGTACCACTGGCTCCACAGGATCACCCTCGGACCGCGAATGATAACGCCGAAAATCAGAGACGTGATACTTTCCTACAAAATCAAAAGGTTCCTTACAATGTTCAAGTAAGTAGGTAGTGGGACTTACTTTCTTTGAGATTTGATAAGGTCCATCACGCCTTGGGTTAAACTTGGAGCTGATACCCTTGCTAGCGTTACTCAACGTGTGAGTCTTCAGAAGTACGAGATCACCAGGCTCAAATACCTCAGCCTCTCGTCGTGTTTTATCTTTTGATATCTTACCAACATCTTGTTCTTTTTCGCAGGTCTCTTTAGCTGTCCTTAAAACATCATTCAGCTTCAAAAGGTACGGTGTTATCTGCGGCACATAATTTTCAGCTTCGACGATGGCTCGAAGATCACTCCGAGCGGAAAAAGGTGAGCGTAACTCTCTGCCAAACGTTAAAAATGACGGCGTGTATCCGGTACTTTTAGACGACGCAGTATTTAATGCAAAACGTATTGCAGGTAGCGCGGATGGCCACTGTCCATGTTCTTTCTCGACTAGAATGGCGAGTTGTATTTTTAACTCGCGATTCTTCCTCTCGACGGGGTTCGCCTCTGGATGATAAAACGGGATGAGATTCTGCTTCACTCCTAGAACAAACATAGTCTGTTGCATAACGTCTGCAACGAACTGGACACCATTATCTGAAACAACCCGACGAGGCACACCATAACGTAAGAAGATTTCCTCAACAAATATTTTGGCACAAGCTTCGGATGTCGCTTCTACGAGTGGGAATATTTCCACCCACTTACTGGCCGTATCTTCAATGATAAGGATCCACCTCTCACCATTAGGTCCTTTTGTTAGTGGTCCGAAAAGATCGACGGCTATGATTTCAAATCTTTGTGCAGGTACGGGCGTTTGAATAAGTCCGGCTGGTTTACAGTTGGAGGGCTTATACCTTTGGCATTTAATGCAAGTTTTTAAATAATCTTCCACAAACCGTCTCATTCCAGGGAAATAAAATCTTTGCGAAATGCGTTGCAGTGTCTTCTCTACTCCACCGTGACCTGCAGTAGCAGCATCGTGATACTCTTTCATAACCTGTTCTCTTAACTTTTCAGGTATAACAAGCTGTGGTTCTTCTGTCGCCGGATCAGCATAACGGTAAAGTATTCCTTTTGACATATGATACCCTCTTTCTGTCCATCTTTTAATCGATACTTCTTCTTTTCCTTCCAGGTCCAAGACTATCTTCGCCACTTCAGGATCAGCAAGTTGGTCGTCACGGAGCGTAGCAGCATCCCAGCGCGGAATTTCCACTACAACGGTACACACCTCACAGATGTCACGAGCAACTTCGTCACATGGCGGTCGGCTGAGGGTATCTGCAATAAGGTTAGCCTTACCCGGAGTGTAATCTACTTTGAGGTCAAAGGATTGCAGCTTCATAGCCCAGCGGACCAGTCTACCCGTGGGCGACTTGAGAGTGAGCAGCCATTTGAGTGGCTGATGATCGCTAGCGACGTGCACCGGATGTCCATCAATATAACCGCGGAACTTCTCAACGGCCCAAACAACAGCGAGTGCCTCTCGCTCGGTTGTCGAGTAGTTTCGTTCGGCGTGAGTTAGAAGACGACTGGCGTACTCAATAGGACGCTCTTCGTGTTGAGACTCCCCCTGGAGTAGAACAGCCCCCAAGGCATAATTGCTAGCGTCGGTCCTGAGAACAAAAGGAAGACTGTAGTCTGGCTGCGTAAGTATCGGAGCGGACGTAAGTAATTTCTTAAGTTCCGTGAACGCAGCGGCTTGGTTTTCCTCCCATATCCATGGCTGGGTCTTCTTTGTCAGCAATGTCAACGGCTGCGCGACTTTAGAAAAGTTCGGAACAAATTTCCTAAACCAAGAAGCAGTTTGTAGGAAACTTTTCAGGTGCTTCAAGTTACGTGGCTCCTTCATCTCCAAGATGGCAGCGACCTTGTCTGGATCTGGTGATACTCCCTCGGGTGTAAGTCGGTACGGAGGTACAGCAATAGGCGCATGCTCCCCAGTCTCTATACAATGCTCCGCAAAAGGCGTAGGCCCTCCCCCTTCTCCAAAGATGTCTTCATATTCTTGGAGTAGCTCACTGAGTCTAATCTTCTCTGGTGGAGATAGCATGGAACCCTCATCTGGCCGCAAAACATTTGTGGCTGCACATCCAATTACGTCACCACATGACTCAAAACACAAGGGGTGAATGACCTCGGGGCGATCAGCTGTGAACCAGTAATTCTCAGGTAAGTTAAGGACTATACGGGCTTTACGCAAAAAATCAATGCCTAACAATGTTTCATTATTACTCGCGTCGGGGAAAATAACAAAAGTGGTAGGTATTAGCATACCTGCAAGTTGAACATTTACATCCACGAGCTTTACATTTACATCGCGAATTAAACCATCAGCAAGTTTAACTGTCAACAAATCCTCTCGAAAGGGATGCTGTTGTTGTTGAAGTAAAAAATAAAGAGTGCTACCAGCAACACAACATTTAGCACCGGTATCTATTAAACCCGTACCACGAAACCCATATACCTCAATATTTAATAGAGGTCGGCGCGTTGAGTCGTCATTCCGCATAAAAAACAACGGTGAAACGCAAAAATCCGCTCGCGATACATTTAAACATTGATTACATAAATTATCAGTTTTAACATTGCTACCTACATTAACATTGTCTCTCGGAGACACATTTATATTCTCTGACATATAGTTACAATCACACAACTTATTACTACAACATTGGGTACTATTATGAAAAGTGTCTCTCAGAGACAGTTTTATATTCTTTGACCTCTGAGTGTGACATCTATCTAAACACAAATTTTCATTCTTTGACGCTTGACGACAGTCACACGATTTAAAGTTACCTACATTACAATTACTACTTAGACTATTACATTCAGAAAGAGAGTAAAATGTTTTAGACTTACAGTTGTCACAATTGGATCTAATGGTACCTTTGGTACCGCAACCGTAACACTTTAAATCACTTTTTTTCTTATCACAAGCACTTCTATCATGTCCTGATTTACGACAGTAGACACAAAATTTACCTCGTTTGGTAGAACTTACTACCGGAGCACTGGACGTAGAAGGCGCGAAGTCGGCACTATCCGGCTGCGGGGCCGGCGCCGTAGGGGCGGAACGCTGCGCTTCGGCGCGTGGA